TAGAATAGACACACAGGGGGGGAATGTGGCTCCAGCCTGGGAGGACATTGTCATACCTGCTGTGGAGCCTTCTCTCCCCCTGTGTGTGACTAAGTAGATGGGCATGAGCCTAGCTGACCAGATAAAAGGCTGGCCACGCAACCATCTCTCTCTTACTCCCTTACTTTCTTACTCTTACTCTTGCTCTCCGGACTCTTAGCCAGCACATGGCTCAAGCTTCACAAGCAGAAAGTCTGAGATGTAGCTCAGACATCTTTTCACTTAAATCCCAAGATAAAGCCTGCCTTCAGATGACTGCTGTGAACTGAATGTGAGTAAAACTTTGTTCTTACGTTTAAAGAAGACTGTGTTTTTGTATTATTATTTTAAGAGGGAAATAAATGGGAAACTTACCAGGAACAGTGCAGACTGGACAAGCCAGACTGGATTGCTTAATTAAAGGATTCTAATGAATAATCAACTTTCTTCCAATAAGTTGCAAAGGGAATGTGCTCTGTTGTTTGCTCCCTAGTGTGAGTGAGGAGGGAAGATATCAAAACAATACATCCCCTCCTACCTTCCTTAACATTCCTACATTATGTTGTCCCAAAGCACTTTTGTTTGATCTTGAGATTTGTATGACCACTTCTATATATGACCCCTCAAGAAGCAAAGCAGGCAAACCCTGATGGGTGCCTCACTAATCTATTGCTCGTGCGATGCAGGAAGCTGTTTTTATAGCACAAACACTTGTCCAGATTTATGTTTACAAACCACATGTACCAATTCAATAAAAACATGTGATTTGATATTGGTCTCTGTCTTAAATTGGTTGGTCTCATTCTTGGGTCATCAACGTGGTGCCCACATGTACCTACAGAGGCCCTTCCTTGTGTCCTCAGGGTTCCCTGCTTTCCCTGCCTCACCCTCACAAAACTAGGCTTTAAAGAAGCTATCAATGGTTGTCAATAGAAAAGATTTCTTTGGAGCCTAGCTTTCATATGATGTGTGTTACACCTGCAGAGTGGAAAGCAAACTTCTAAAATACTAATTGACTTGAAGGGAATTTGAGTGTGTGTGTGTTTGCAGTGTGTACATGGTATCAATGGTTTGCAAAAGGGCCAAAGAAATTTTGCGATCTCTAGTCTAACTTAGCCATAGCTGGTAATTGGCATCCTCTGACTGAAAGCTTTACCTGCCTTCCACAGCTCTCATTGTCTTGATTAGCATCTAAGGGTGCAACAGCAAGCACAAGAAAATAACATGCTTGGTTTGTTTGTGTGTGTGTGTGTGTGTGTGTGTGTGTGCGTGCTGTCCACAAAAATAAAACATTAAATTACACAGTAAAACAATGTGAAAAAGACAGATAAAAGCAGGGTAACACAGTACAGGTAAAACTGAACTAACAGAGATTCCTGTTCTCTATGTGCCGCAATTGAATTTCAATATGCTTGGTGTGTATGTTTTGGACAGAAGAGGTTTTGACACACAGTTTAGGAAATGGAAAGTGCCAAATGGAGTTAGACTGTGAGCCGGTGATGGGCCCTTGGCATGAAGTAACTAAAACCAATGATGAGTCAAGCAAGTTTAAAATGGGAAACTGCACATGCTCAGAGTATCTTCTTCCTTTTCTATCAATATTGGAAAAAATGTTGGCACCTTATTTCTGGTATTTCTTTTGCATGGAAGTGGTGGCCTTATTTTGAGAACTTCACCAGGGCCCCCAGGCACCTTAACCTAACCATACCTCTTGAGTTTACTCCAGAGTAAACATGCATGTGCATTGCAGGGGTTTGGACTAGATGAGCCTTGGGCTTCCTTCCACCCCATGGTTCTAGTTTTTATTTATTTATTTTAATATACAGCTATTCAGCCAAAGATCACAAGGCAGTTCACAACATAAAAATACAAAATGAGAACACAAAATACTGAAAACCCCCACAAACCAATAACCCTTGTTCCACACTGGTTTAAAAGGACACAGATTGTTTTATTAGCCAACGGCCTGGTTATACAGAAATGTTTTTTCCTGGCACCTAAATATATATATTGAAAACTCCAGAGGAGCCTCCCTGGGGAGAGCATCACACAAATGGGTAGCCACTACAGAAAGGGCCAGTTCTTGTATTGTCGACCTCCTGTCCTCCAGTGAAGCAGCAACAGGAAGAAAGGCTTCAGATGATGATTGCTGGGGGATCCAGGTTGATTCATACGATTCTATGTGCTTCCTCGGTTATTTGGAATAAGCACCATTAAAATCTGAGTAAAATGAATAATATTGGGCTCTAACCACATACAGTCAGGAGATCAGTTACAGAACTGCTTCTGAGTAAAGATATCATACTATTAAAGAACTATATGCCTTTCCACAAGTATGCATTCTAAGTATATTTTGTAGTGGAAAGTCCCCTCTTTTCAGTGGAGTTCACACCCAAGAATGTGAGTTCAGAGATCTTGCTGGAACCCGGAACCTGCTACCACTTCTCCCACTACCTGAACCCATGCGCCTCCCTCCCCCCCCCCCAGCTCAAATGAAAGAGCAGCAGCAGAGGAGACAGCTGCAGAGACCAAAAACTAGTTCAAAGAGGATTTGAACTTCACATGATGGCTGCACTATCATTACTTGGAGCATGTAATGCTGTAATTTTGTTTAAAAAAATCTTTTTCATAAGCACATCAGAATAAAATAAAACACACTGAATAATTAAATACTAAATTTAATTAGTCCTAAGAATCCTAGCATGGATGATATCTGCTATGGGGACTGGTAGTTAATATGTGTAACAAGCGGCCATTGTGCACATTCACCACACGTCATGGAGAATGTGCACCCAATGGATCCGTGAAGAGGGAATTGTGCCTATTTCCTAGTCAGCATGCATAATGTCCCAAGAGGTTTCAGGGAATGTGCATATCTGGCCTGTATTTGGTAGATTTTCCACGCAATGCGCACACTCTCTGGTCACGGCTCCCAGGACATATGCCCTTTTTCTATCTGAACCCCCATGGCTGCTTCTGGACCACTGCCTCCTCTTACGCAGCCCACAACCTTCCCTTCCAGTAATCAGATGAGCAGTGGGGTCAGTCAGAACCAGAGGTGATGGGGGAGGGGAGCCCCCCAGCAGGGCAAAGGGGGCTGCAAAGGAAAAGGTGTGATGTCCATCTGATCCATGCCATGGCCATTTTGGGCCCAGTCCACCACTGGCTAGTGGTCTGACCCCTGCCTTTCCCCCCAGCTGGCATGAAATGCTCCCACTTCCACTAAAAAAAAGGGCAGGCCACACTGCTGCTTCTTTTACAGTTCTTCAGAACTGCACGTAAGCTATACCTTTATAATGCTTTGCCCATCCTTACTTCCCTGGTCTGAAGTTGTTTGATGTTAGAAATGCCGTCATATTGATGGAAGGATGTGTTCACCTTCTCTGAATTGCTCCAGAGGCTAAGCATGTGGCCTTTGTAACTTCTCCACACTGCAATCCAAAGGGAGCTTCAGAGGAAATGGCAGGGCCACCACTGGATTTGCAGTCCTGCCGCTCATGCCAGCAGGAACAGCAGCAGAAGGGGAGGGGCAAGGGGGCAAATTGCTTCCTGGGTGAAGCCATCATATGGTACTGTATCTGGCCTGACTTGGGTTCCAGACTGGCAGAGCAATTTGGATGTGCTGCTCTGTTAAGTCATGATGCTCCCCCCGGCTGAGGTTTGGAATGCCCCCATGCTGTGCTTGCGCCCTGCCAACACACAGTGCTATGGACTTGAATAAAGTGTGGCAGGGAGAAGAGGAGTGGGCCACCTTTCTCCCATCAACAGCTGGATTCTCTTCGAGAATTCTCTCAGCAGAGGGTAGAATCAGAGATGCTTCACGCTTTTCTTCCCCTCCTCCTCCCCCCATCTCTTTTCCCTTGCTGAGTGATGCTACCTCAGCTGGTTGAATCTTCCCTCCCCATGATTCCCATGATGACTGAAGCTTTTTTTTTGGGGGGGGGTACTTCCATCAGAATTGTGGAAGAGGGAGGGGAGATTTAAAACATTCTGTTCCCTGAAAAGTGGGGTGAACTGCCTATCAGTATCCTAAGGCCCCACCTCATGGAGGGCAAGGAGGGAGCAGAGAGAGAGAGAAACAGGAACATTAAGGGCGAGAGCACCCAAAACCTTCCCACCAGTTCCACCAGTTCCACAATCTGGCTCAGCATGTTTTTACATGAGTAGAATGTGTCCTTTTATTTAAAATGCATCTCTGAGTTATTTGTGGGGCCTGCCTGGTGTTTTTATGTGAGTAGAAGGTGTGCTTTTATTTAAAATGCACCTCTGGGTTATTTGTGAAGGGCAAGAAGGGAGCAGAGAGAGAGAGCACCTAAGACCCTCCCACCAGTTCCACAAGCCAGCCTACAGTCTTTGCCTGAGACAATCACCATGGTGACCTGTGACTATTTAGGGCAGTCTTTCTCAGCCTGTGGGTACCCAGATGTTGTTGAACTACAACTCCCATCATCCCTAGCTAGCAAGGCCAGAGCTTAGGGATGATGGGAGTTGTAGTCCAACAACACCTGGGGACCCACAGGTTGAGAACCGCTGGTTTAGGGTCTTTAATCCAGTATAGGGTAGTGGTGAGAGTGTTGGACTAGGGATGGGGAGAGCAGGGTTCAAATCCCTCCTTCTCCATGGCACTCCTTGGGCCACATCTGGACATTTACTGTCTCGCCTACTGGCTCCTTGGAGGAAGGATAAAATATAAACATAATAGAAAGCAAATAGAATTGCATCTTCAAGAGCTAATCAAGGCTAGAGATCTAATGGAAGCAGTTAAACTGCTGCGCCACATTATATCAAATCCCAGCTGCAGTAGAATTTAGTCAGAAGATGGAAAATTAGAATTGAAGAGACCAGGTTGCAAAAAACACATTTTTATTGATGATTTGGTAGATACATTGACAAATGATACAAACATGATTCTATGCATTCAAGAAGCAAATGATTCAGGACCCGTCCGGGCTTTCCTGATTTGCCTCTGCAGGAGTCATACACAGAAATGGTTATACAATGAAAGATTAAGGAAACCTCAGAGACTATTATATGGCAAAAGAAAAAAATACCCTCCCATAAGACATACCCCCGGCTTGTGCCAATATAGATCAGGTAATAAGCCTCCAATAGGAAAAGTCAAACACAGCGATGCAACATGCTGAGCCACAACAAGCTTCTCAGTGCACATTCAATGCATACTTAAAGCACGTGACATAATGATAAAAACACTTTATTACAACAAAGCAGTGACTGATAGTATTGAATAATAATAGGTGACATTCTAGTTAATAGATTGCAAGACATTCTCCTCATAGGATCAGCTAATTTCCCTGATTCTAAAAAGCATGCTGTGGGTGATCAGCTTTAGCAGGGGAGCCTAACCCCTTAAATTAGAGGAGGGTCTCCTACTTCTTCTCTGACCTAGCCGGGGTTTTTTTGCCGCCCTGGTTTGGCTGTGAGGCAGAAGGGGGGCCAATTCGGAGTGGGACAAATCCTGTTGGATACCACATGATGGTCACATTCTCGGAGCCCCTAGCTTGGGGCTGCACACTCGGTGGGCTGCCAGATGCAGCAGCAGGAGCGCCACGGACACTCTGAAGACCCTCTCCACCAGCAGACGACGGTGCAGCCAATGTGCTGGAGCGATCGGAGGAGTCATGGGATCTCTCAGAAGGGGTGACCTCTAGCTCGATCCCTTCCTGTGCTTCGCGGGTGGATCTCTTTCTACGCCAGAATATCTTGTAGGTACGGTAAACGGCCAAGTAGAATATCACGCTAGCAGCAACTCCTCCGGTAAACAAAGTCACCCTCTCCCACTCTGAAACAGAATAAAGACTCTGATTAGTGCTTGTACTGCTACCCATTTGCTCGAGAGTTCGGCTCAACGGGACAAACTGGACTCCCTGGGGATGGAGCAGGGGATTTTGACTTCCAAAACTAGGAGGAGCGCGGGAATGGCTAGCATCCTAAGGTAAAGTATCTCAAACTGAAGCCATTCTTCAAGAGTCAATACGCCAAGAAATAAAGCCCACCGCATACTGAGTACAGGAACTACCTTCCCCTCCTTCTTTAGGTACCAAGATAAATATCCTAACATTCTCAAGGAAAGGAAAGTGTTTCATAGTAACCGAAGTCTTACTACACTCATCTGAGAAGACTCCCTGGGACAAACGTTCCTCCTAGAAAGCAGGACACTCCGAACTTTTTCGGGAAAGCTGCCCACTCCCCACCCCGTGTACAAATCTTGCCAAACTGTTTCGGAGCTACTTGCATGCCCGTCAGCAAGCTAGTCCGACCGCGGCGACCCAGAGTCTTCTGCGCATCACCGCAAGTTCAAGAGCGGGACGGACAGAAATAGAAGGAAATGGGAACCAGCTGGGGAGCGGGGAACCTACGTCTAAATGAGAGAGGACGGCAGGTTCGCATGCAGAATTAGGGGCAGCGCGCAGGTAGTTTTCACCCGAGGTACTAAGAGATAGAAAGGGAGGTGGTCGCCTTACGGGTCAATGGAGGCGAAGTAGGGCACTGCTGTGGTCCGCAGTCGGTGGGGCGCGCTGGGGAGCCCTTGGCGAGCTCGTCGAATGAGCAATTGCGCATCTGATCGCAGGTCCCACAGCAGAACTTGACTTCGGCGCCGTCGGGTTGCACCGCGCACTGGAAAGCTTCCACCACTGGCGGCTCGGACCCATACAGCCACTGAGCGCACATCGATCCATTGGTCTCGCTCAGCATCAAGGGGTATTCGGTGGGAGCAGGGGCTGTGCTCTGGGTCTCGCCACAAGGCAGAAGGCGCAGCAACAGCAGCAGCAGAAGAGCGAAGAGCAGAGAACACTTCATGGCGGCGCAACTGTCAGCTGGGCTCACCTCGAAGAACTGACCGACTCTCTCCAGCAAGCGAACGAAGTCTGCCTGGCTAGTCTAACCCGCCCCCCACACGGACAGGTCCGTCCCACTCAAGCGCAGCCAGTCAGAGACAATGTCCCGTTATCAAACTTCCTCTCATAAAGGCTGCATAGGCGCTGTATCCGCTGGGGCGGCCCCGATTCTGGCTGCACGAGCGCTCCGAGCAAAAAGCCAGCTTACACTGGAAGCCAGACCCTTGGTCTATCTCCCTAGGTGTCCTCTCCGCTATACGGCAACTCTTCTCTGGGCTTTCAAAGGGGGGCGGTGGGTGGAACATTCCCGACTCTGCCCGGGAATTGAACCAGGGACCTTGCGCCTTCGATGCAGGTGCTCTAGTATGGAGAGCTGGTGGGGTTTAGAGGCACCGAAACGCTCCCTTCCCGTGGCAAGTGGGCGCCAGAAGCTCCAGAAGCGGACTGAAATTTGTCTCCTTCCCGGTTCGGGGAGGGGGGGGGCTATCCCCAGGAGTCTACCCAAGCTTACTCAGGAGTAACAGAACAAACTTAGTTGGTCTCTAAGGCACTATTAGCCAAAATCCATGTTTGAGTTACAAACAAACGGAGCTTGAAGATATAAACTCGCAAGAAAAACTCCGTCTAGACGCATCACTCTTTGTGATCACAGCTGGCTCTGCCGCTCCAAGCCTGGACCACTCATGATTCTACGTGGTTCAGAGGCGCTTCTTAAGGGGCAGTGTGGTGCAGTGGTCAGAATGCTGTCCCATAACCTTGAGGCAGTCAGTTTCTCTCAATTAACCTACCTTGCGGAAAGTCAGAAGCTATGTGCTTCAACACCTCTCCTCACACCCAAAAAGAACTCATTAATGTCACCAAGATAAAACTTTGCCACATCAAGTTCAGATACCTAGGGGTACGTACAAATAACCAGAAACCTCAAGAAATTGTACCTCCAGAACTACAAGCCCCTGTGGCAACAAATAAACAAAGACCTAGAGAGATGAGATGGAATAACATGAATTTCACTCTCTCAGGCAAAATAGCCATGATCAAAATGATCACTCTCCCAAAACTAACCTACCTATTCCAGACCCTCCTAATCTGGATTCCCCCAACCCAATTCCGAAAATGGCAGAAAAACTACACTCTTTCATCTTCTCACACAAAAAACCAGGAATAAGCCTCAAATATCTGCATCTTCCCACCTCAGAAGGAGGATGGGGAATCCCCAACATAGAAGCATATTACATTGCCAACCAAATACGCCATATAATCCCATATATACTAGAAGATGAGGCAAAACAATGGATACACCTAGAGAGGGACACAATTGAAAACACCTGCACCACAACATACCCATTCCTCCCAAGCAAACTAAGGAAAACTCCCACAACACTTAACAGGTACACACAGACCATGCTCAAAGCATGGAAAACAGAAATAGGCAAACTATCCCCAACCCCATCCCCACTACCTGGCATACAACCCATTATTTCATCACACAGCGCAAAACCTCCAGATAAAAACCTGGCAAACCAAAGGCTTATATCGTCTAATAGACTTCTATAAAATAACAAACCTTTGTCAACACAAGAAATACAAGACAGACTAGAGGACACCCAAATGTCCTGGTTAACACATCACCAATTACATGCCCTCTTAAACAATCCAGTAGTAAAATCAGCAGCAACTAGGCCCCTGACAACCTTCGAAAACCTCCTCCTAGCAATAAAGGGACACGGTAAAGGGATGGTATCCGCAGTATACAAAATACTACTCCAAAATCCCAAACTCCCTAGACACAATCAAAGAAACAATGGGAGGATGACATAGGCTATGAGATTAACCCCACTCAATGGACCAGAATGTGGTCTAGACCCCCCTTTAAATCCATATCAGCAAAAAGAAAAGAACTCACTCTGAAAATCACCTACAGCTGGTACCTAACACCAAGAAAACCAGCGCTAATACAACCAGGAACCTCACCAAAATGCTGGAGAGGGTCACCTTCACAGGCACATACCTCCACATGTGGGTAGGTAAATGTAAAGGTAAAGGGACCCCTGATCATTAGGTCCAGTTGTGACTGACTCTGGGGTTGCGGCGCTTATCTTGCTTTATTGGCCGAGGGAGCTGGTGTACAGCTTCCGGGTCATGTGGCCAGCATGACTAAGCCACTTCTGGCGAACCAGAGCAGTGCACGGAAACGCCGTTTACCTTCCCGCCGGAGTGGTACCTATTTATCTACTTGCACTTTGACGTGCTTTCAAATTGCTAGGTTGGCAGGAGCAGGGACCGAGCAACGGGAGCTCACCCCGTTGCGGGGATTTGAACCGCCAACCTTCTGATCGGCAAGTCCTAGGCTCTGTGGTTTAACCCACAGTGCCACCCGTAGCACCATTCAAATAAATGGCAATTATAAACAGAGGTTGGGTGCCCAATTGTGAGAGATTATTCAGCTGTGATTCCTGCATTGCAGGGGGTTGGATGAGATAACCAACTTTTCTTCCAACTCTACAGTTCTGTCTATGACAGTTCTCATCTATGCTGCCGTTTCCTGGATGGCCCCCTCCCTCATTAGCCCATGTTGCTTTCTGGTGGGGAGCACATTACTGCCACTTTCTGCAGCCCTTGCCTCCCACTTGAAAGGAAGCTAAAGTGTGGGGCTCTGCATTTGATCACTATCAACCTTGGTTAGCCTCACTGTCTCTTAATCTCAGGATCATGGGTTCCAGGGGCATAGGAAGAGGGGGCGATGGGGGCGGCCTGTCCTGGATGTCATCCCTGAGGGTGTGTGTGACAACCCGCCCCCTGGACGGATTGCTGTGCTGCCCCCCTGGGCACCAATCGCTGCGCGGTCAACCCCCTGGGCACCAATCGCTGTGCCGATCGTCCCCAATGGGCGCTGATCACTGCCCCTAATGCCTTCCTGGGCGCCAATCACCATGCTGATCTCCCCCCCCCGGCAACTTGCCCCGCCCCCCAGTTGCACGGCATGTGTGCCGCTCTGGGTGCCAGAGAGGCTAGCTCTGCCACTGATGGGTTCAAGCCCCATGTTGGGCAAAAAAATTCCTACATTGTAGGGGGTTGGACTAGATGACCATTGGGTTCCCTTCTGACTCTATGATTCTATGCCATTTCTGTTGAAAGTTTAGGTGAAACTCAACTTGCAGTAAGGGGTTTACATTGGGTTATAATAGACCTCCAGATTCCTAGGCTATTTCTGCACCTTTGACCTGTATGCCGATTTCTTTGTCGTTTGAAGTTTAGCCAGACACAGTCTTAACTTGCAACCCACTTACAACTTCCTCCCATTTGCACTTCAGGATGAGAGTTCATCTTGGTTCTGTTGTCTGAGAACAAGCATGGTTGGCTTGGTTTTCTCTAGACCAATTTGAGATGGGGATTGTATGCAGAAGAAGCATCTCTAACTAATGGTGTATATAAGACTGATTTTTCAGAACCCCAGAGTGAATGTGTGGCCCAATCCCTCCAGAAGGGTGACACATCCCTTTCTGGGATGCATATGGGCAGGTGGTGGCTGCTGCAGCCAATGTGCTGTTCGAGTTCGAGCAAAGCCAAGTTGTTCTCACCGGTGTCGCTATCATAGCGGATGTGTTTGGCACAGAAAACTTGGCCACTGAGACATCAAAGCTATTATGGCTATACAGTACTGCACAAGGAGCTTGAAAGAAGAGTAAAGCTAACTCAGGATGCTTCCATCACCAAAAAGTGTGTGAACTACATTACTGTACTGGGAAATGGTAAAACCTTCTTTTCCTCCATGCACAGAGCAAAGTACCAGAGTACTTGATGTTGTTCACACACTAATATATGTTTTCCACTGAATGTTCCCTCACAATAGAAAAGTAAGCACCATCTAACCCATCTAACCCATCTGTGGGTTAAACCACAGAGCCTAGGACTTGCCGATCAGAAGGTCGGTGGTTCGAATCCCCGTGACGGGGTGAGCTCCCATTGCTCGGTCCCTGCTCCTGCCAACCTAGCAGTTCGAAAGCACGTCAAAGTGCAAGCAGATAAATAGGTACTGCTCTGGCGGAAAGGTAAACAGCGTTTCCTTTCGTGCGCTGCTCTGGTTCGCCAGAAGCGGCCTCGTCATTCTGGCTACATGACCCGAAAGCTGTACGCCGGCTCCCTCGGCCAATAAAGCAAGATGAGCGCCGCAACCCCAGAGTCGGCCACGACTGGACCTAATGGTCAGGGGTCCCTTTACCTTTTACCCAATTTTCTTAGATGCTTTCTCAAGATAAAATGTTGCATATATTCTTAAGGAGAGATGTGAAACCATGGAGGTGTTCAGAAAATACCTCACCATGGTGAACAACAAGTTCCAGAGGAAACCCAAAATTTTCATGAGCAATGATGGTGGTGAGTACACTTCACACCACATGAGAAACCTCTTGGAAGAGGGAGGCATTACACAGCTGAGGAGTGCACTCTACATCCTGCAACAGAACTCAGTTGCAGATAGATTTTTTCCCTCTCAGATGCATGGTAAGTGATACAAATCTCCCCAAACACATGTGGGGAGACACAGTATCCACTGCAGTGTACCTCCAAAACATACTGCCTACTAAGGGAGCTACACACTTGTGGGATGTAACCCACTGGTGCAGTTAAGTACAACATTACCTGTTTTGCTAGAGTGGACATGCAGGGGATGTTGGTCCAGCCAGCTGAACTTCCTGTTACACCTGGCTGTAGCATCCTTCTTTTGCATGTGACTAAGTAGGTGGGTGTGACCTTTCCAGACCTGGTAAAAGGCCAAGTCACGTAGCCACCTCCCTTCTTCCCCATTTCTTTTTTGTCCTGCCTGCTTCTTGCTTCACCTGGACTACACTGCTGGCCTGGGTTATCTCCCATATGGGAGATATTTGTACTTATTTGTAACCTCAAGCCTTAAGCCTGCCTTCAGGAATCCCACTGTGCTGATCGTGAATAAACTTCTTTTTGTTACTTATGAGTAAGACTGTTGTGTCTTTATTCTTTTAGG